ATATATTAAAAACATATTTTATTATATTGTAGGTACAAAATAAAGCATTTGTTGCTAATTTTAAATGCTGATAAACACGCTTTGCCGGCGAGATTTCGGCAAGCCGTACCCAGGAATGCATTATACTCGATGTTTCGACTTCGTAGCAGCTTACGGTTTCATCGTTCTCTTTGTCTAGTACGCTGTAGTAGACAAAGACCTGGCGGAACGTATGTTGTGCCAGGTCCGGCGAAATCCTCCTTCGCCGTACCCAGCAACGCGAATTTAGTTTTTAAAACGCTTAATATTTAAGATAGCTAACCAAATTACAAAACAATAACGGCTTCGATGTTCTTCAGTGCATACTATTTTTTTTTAATAATAATTGTCGATTTAATACATTTTTCTGTGTATGAATAATAAACGAAAAAAATTACATTAAATTATCTAAAATTTTATTTTTCGTACATAACTTAGCTACAACATAAATGCGCTTTTTCTGTATTTTTAGCATCTAAGCGTTTTCAGATATTTCAGAAACGAATTTAAAGTTTTAAATCATTTTAATTTTTCAATTATTCAATTAATTTATTTGACAATTTGTCATATACATTAAAAAAAAATAAATGTAAATGAAGATAGTTAACAGTTGGTACTTTTATTATTACTTTTTTTATATTTTTTAACTGCATGTCATTATTTAATTATTATTATTTAATTGTGGATGTCCGGGGTCGGCAAGCCGTATAGCCGCCGGTCGACGCGGAACTCAGTAAAAATAATGTTTTCGGTGGTTCTCAATTAATGATAAAGCAGAACAAGTAGAATTAAGGATTAATAGTATTTGGAATCAAACTAACATTGTCAATTTCCTATAAAAAATTATTTTAACAGGTCGAAACATTTGAGATGTTTTGTACATCCTGGCACGTAAAATGTCAGTGGTTAATGAGTAGCAGCCATACATTACGAAAATATATAACACCAAGGTGTAGACTCAAAATATTTGGCCGACCCGAAATTTTGACCCACCAGCCGCCACTGTATTCTACAGTTAAATGAGCATAATAAACTGAAGAACAATAATCAAAGTTTGTAAGCATTAGGGTATTGCACAGTTTCCATTTAGTACTACTATCCAAATACTGTTTAAATTGATACAAATATCCAAACTTAGCATAACATTTAGCCAGAACACTATTAACGTGATTTTGAAATTTTAATTCGCAATCAATGTACACACCTAAACTTTTAATTGAATCGTTGAACTCTAGTATATGGTCGTCAATCTTGATCAATTTCTTGATTTTGTGTAGAACAGCATTTCGATTTGTTGTTGACCCTATTATACTACCTCCACACTTCTGTAAGTTCAGCAGCAATCCATTTGCTCTGTTCCATTCGCTAATCGCCATCAGTTGTTTATTAATCATGGTAGATCCTAAGAGAGCAGAATGCAAATTAAATGATGTATAGATCTGGGTATCATCAGCATAAAAATGAAACTTTAGACCTGGTAAACGCCACCAGATGATATCTGCAATAAATAAGACGAATAATGTAGGACCTAACACACTTCCTTGGGGTACTCCTTCTGTTATGTCTTGTTTTTCAGAAACTGAATTACCAATTTTCACCACTTGCTTCCTGTCCTTCAAATAGTTTTGAAACCATAGAATAGCTAGATCTGAACATCCATAATATTTCAGTTTAGCTAAAAGCAAATTATGATTAATTCTATCAAATGCCTTGCTGTAATCTAATGTGATAAGTGCTGTAACTTCCCCTGTGTCCATAGCTTGGACACAATCGGTAATAATTTTTAAAAGTGCGGTATTTGTGCTATGATGAGGTCGAAAACCAGATTGTATGGATGGAATTATATGATAATTTTTTATATAATCAGTAAGTCGACGCTTGACTATGGTTTCTATAACTTTAGACAAAATTGGGAGGATACTAATAGGACGAAGATCTACTAGTGAAGATGCATTTGGTTTTTTGGGAAGAGGAATAACCGTAGATAATTTCCACTGATCGGGGAACGTGCCTGTTATAAAAGAATGATTGATAATGTGTACTAAAGCTGTTTTACAGTAGGGTAGTACAATTTTGAGCATTTTTAAATTTATGTTGTCTACACCAGCTGCATTAGATCGAATATTACTTATGACATTTTCTACCTCATTTTCAGTAGTTGGTTCCAGATTAAAATCTGTTGTAACACCTGGACGTCTATTCCTTTGAAAAAATGAAATGACATCGTTGTCTATGATCTGATTATTAGTTGAGATGATGATAGAAGAAGAAATCCATTCCAATTGTTTGGCTACAATGGAATCAAATATTTTAGGAATGGTAGACTGATTGCAAACACCTCTGTAATTGTCGATCTTATTACGATCCCCAGATTTAAAAATAGGTGTAACGTAACTATTTTTCCAGGCCTTAGGAAATTTACCCTGAGACAAAGACACTTTGAAAAGTTCACACAAGGGCATTGTAATTGTGTAAATGCAGTTCTTCAGCAGAACGTTTGGAATGCCATCAGCTCCAGGATGGAAAGAATGTTTAAGACGAACGATATTTTCAAAAACTTCTGATAACTCAACTTTCAGTCCAGAATCAGCTACTTCATGTATACCATCAAATTCTTGATCAAAATCATTGTTGGCGTCTTCTACGTAGACCGAGGGAAAAAAACTCCGCAAACAAATTGGAAATTTCAGTGCCAGTTTTGGCAAACTTCTGGAAATATTGCATTTTACAAGGAATACCACTACTTTTTTTCCTATCATTAATGAATTTCCAGAAGAACTGTGGATTATTTGTAATGCTGTCGCTGACTTTAGAAAGGTAGGAATTATATAGATTTTCGTTAAGTTCTTTACATTGGGACCTTAAGATTTAAAAATATTCATAGTCATCATATCTGCCAGATTTCTTATAGACTGAATGGGCAATTTTCTTAAGGCGACACAAATCTTTTAACTCTTTATTAAACCATCGGGGATAAGTTGATGAAAAATAATGTACCCTTTTCTTAGGAATATATGTGTCCATTCCAAAAAAAAACAACATTATAAAAAGCAGTAACCATATCATCTAATTCAAGACCAGAAAAAAAATTGACCCAATTAACAGAGGCTAAAAAGTAATTTAACTGTTGAAAATCACCATTAGCAAAATCAAATACATTGGCTTGTGAAGATAGTTTTTTTGAAGACGGAATATAAAAAATGGACCACGAATAAGGAATATGATGATAACTTTCAGCAAAAATAGGATCGACTGCGGATGAAACTTGCAAATCAAGAATGTTCGTAAAAACGAGATCTAAAAACACGTTTCGATTATTTGTTTGTTACCCCTGTTACAACAAGCCCCTGGTTCCCCTACTTGTGAATTAATTGTAAATGTTATACAAAAAAACATATTTTTTGCTCTTATTGTACCAATGTGATATTTTTGTAGATAAATGTATACACATATTTTTTTATTGGCTTAGGTTGTAGATAAATACATAATTATATGTATTTGTAAATTAATTATAAATGTTATACAAAAAAGTGTAATTTGGACATGCGCATAACTTATTTGTGGCGTGGATGTTACATGTACTAATTCTTTTCAATAAAAACAGTTTTTTTTTTGGTGAAGTACATTCTTCTATATTATTCCACAGTCTCGACGGAGCCGCCCATTAGCCTTAATCCGTGTGCAACCTGCGTAACCGGGAGAGAATTTACCTATACCCTTTTTGTCACCTTGACCACTGGGAGACAACTTACCTACAGCCCATTTATTACCCAAGTTCTCTCTCTGTCGTTCTTTTTTTTTCCTAGTTCTCTCTCTCTCTCGTCTCTAGAAAAAGGTCACAACCACATCCTTACTGCCAGAAGAGTTTCACCTTTGGTGTGGTTAACATACTGAGTTACCGTGCTCTTTTGCGTTATTCCTAATTTCTCAATCTCAACCCTGCTCCCAAAGATGCCACTTACGAAAGTGTGCGAAACGTTGAGCCCAAAAACTCAAATAACACGGGCCCAACCCGGAAAATGATCAGATGACTCCGACCGTGGAACCTCTGAAATTAATGAATTCAACGCACTTTCGTATGGCTTTTATCAGCTCACTGTTTAGTTTTCCGTAAATTTTCTCACCTCAGAAGGTGAATTTTAACGTCCTCTATACAGTGGAGCATGTTTCGGTACGTACAATTGAAGATAAAAAGGTACGTCAAACGTACTGTCAGACTGTTACCCAAACTTCTCTTATAAAACAATCTTGTGTTCGTGTAGTGCCATCTGATGTTGCCTAGCAACAAATATAATTCACTGCCTGAAAACTGCTGAAAATGTATGAACCTGTAATTTTCAGAAGTTAAAACTATATTCAATCGATTTCTTGACCCAAAAAAAAAACCCAACCTGTAAATTTCATCGAAATCGTTAGAGCCGTTTTCGAGAAACCAATTATATATATATATATACAAACTTTGCTCATTTAAATGTATAAGATATAGCATATAACAGGTTATGTTTCTGCCGTTTGTGTCAAATGAAATTCCAACGCCTTCTCTAAGTGATTTTTCAATTGAACACCAGTTATATTCGTTATTTAAATAAATACAATGTATGCAGGGGACAAGTTCTTTCTATCAAAAAATTGTATGCCTTTTTACGTCCAGGCAATTGTAATGTTTGTTGCAATGATTTCTAATTATAAGTTCGAAAATAATTACGTCCCACTGGAGCTGTTACCTTGTTTCAACAAATTTCTAATTTGTAGCAGCTTGCTCCGTAATTATCACCACCAATTGTAATTAAGATTTCGCCAACTATAATTAAAAAAAATACCTTCCCTTGATTCAAACGGTAATTTTACAACTTCGAAGACTTGTTGGCAAGTTATAAACTTGCAAGGAGTTTCCATTATCATTTATTTATAAGTCCATGCGCTGTAGGTGCGCTCAATTGATTTCCAGGTTACAGGTTGGTACATTCAGCTTCAGCCTCGTGCAGAAATGTGAGAGTAAAGCAGTGCTCAGCTTATTGACTAATTAATGAGTGATGAATTTTGCAAAGTTTAGATTTTTTGCATGTGTTATTGTGTTTTTAATTTCCTGGAGTGAGTAGAAAATTTTTACATAGTTTATTGGTTGCCATCACAAAAAGTAACTACATACGAGTAATAAAATTACAAAATTAAAGTCAATTAGAATTGTGCTAATCAACAACACAGGATTATAACCACGTACATTTGAATTGCATTTTGACGCTTGTTTTGTCACGTGACTAATTCAGTCACATGGTCCTAGCGATTCTGTAAGTATCAGTAACAGTACTACGAAGAGATCTAAGGAAATGTTACTCTTGACATTGTTACAAATGTTTGTAACATTTAGAAATTCAGATTCCGATTTATTTCCGCCACCTGAAAGGTAAAAAGGCGAATTTCATGTTACTAATTAATGTTTTCTTGTTTTCTATCTTCATCCTTGCGACAAATGATACACGTTTTATTACTTTTATTTGCTCCACAACTGAGTGGTCGGCATAAATATATATTTTGCAGGAATCACACCAAAACATTTTTTACTAAATCGAAAATAATTTAAAAAAAAATACAGACAATTTGTATAAACATGGGTTAAAATAAACGTAGCCAGCATATTGAGAGCTTAATCCTGCAAAAATTGTTGTTAAAAAGTTATTAAGAAAAATATCAATTCTGGGTCACTTTTGACTCGATTTTCGTACGGCGAATGTTAATCTTCTATTGATAAAATGTTTAAATGGTCAGTGACATTTTAAAAATAAATCATAATACATATTGCTATTAAATAGTTTCAAGTGAAACGACAAAATGATAGGTTACATGAAAAATACTTGCAAATAATTTTCTTTCCTCTTAAAATTTAATAATAAATCAATTTACAAAAAGAAAAAAAAAATACATAATTCAATAATTTCCTCGTCTACTCTATAATATTTTATAACATTACGACTTTAATAAAGAAGGGAAGTAAATTAAACTGACAATTAATTACTGAGAACTGTTCATAGTATTTTTTTTTAATTTTATTCTTCCCACGGTTCCGTGATTACGTCTATCATACTGAATAAAATTCAACAATTTTATAAAAGTTTTGTAATTTATATAATACGTAAGATGCTATCAAAAAGGATTGCTTATTTACTTCTAAATTTTTTAAAAATACGTTATTTCCAAATTCACCAATAATAAATATACACATCCAGACATTTTGTGTGATTGCTTTGAGTTACTGATATGAATATTTTGTTGATACGTTACTGTTTAAAGTGAATTCTAGTTGCATTAATCACAAAAAAAAAAACAAATCTGCAATATGTTCAATGTTTAAAATTTATGTTTTTAATAAATGTCATTAGCTCACAGAATAAGAAATTACACATGTTAATGTAGTATGTTTTATATTCAGTCCTTCAGTAAAATGCAAAATAAATTAAAATTTAGAGATTTTACAAACGTTTCCTTTACAAATGGCTGTAAAATATTATAATTAGAAGTCCAGTATCCCAGTATCCCAGTTATTTGGATGCATATTATGTAAAGGTCATATGAATCAAATTGAATTCACCGCACAGTATAATTTTCAACATACCAAATCTATAAGTTACACCAAAAGTTGAATAATCTAATATTTTTTTCTACTAAAGTTACCAATTTTAACGGGTGTCCAATTAAAAATCTGGTCAAGAGGGCTTTGTCGTATTTTATTGTTTTTTTTTTCGTATGTCGTAGTGTTTGTCATCGTGTTCGAGACAGTTGTCATTTCGATGTCAACCTTGGTTTAACATCGAAATGACGATGACAAGAATCGATGTGACAAACGAAAAAAAAAAACAAAAACTGTTGACGTAACACTCTTAACCAGGTTTTTAGTATTGCATGTATTTTCTGCTCATGAGAAGACTTCTTTAACTGGTTAAATATATTTTATCGTATAAAAAACATTATTTCTTTATAATCTACTTATTTCGTATTACAACTAGTACTCCATTGTACCATTGTACTACACCGTACAATCCTGACACTGGCACTATGTTTAAATGGTCATTACATAGTTTCTGGATGAATCAACAATACTAAATTTACTTGAGTCAAACGTAGAAACTTATTACTTATTACTGTTTGATAATAGCATTTTTTTTTTATAATAACGGAAACCAACAATTCTTATTTTTGTATTTTCGCAAGCAGTTTATGACAATTTTAATTACAATAATGTCTCTTTGGTTATAATTTTGGTGGCAACAGCTATGATTTTTTTAATAAGAAATTTGACAGCAAATTCAGATCATTACATATGTATAAAAACAAAAAAATACCACCGTCAAGATTATTAAAATACTGACAGCATACAAATTACTTATGTGCTATTTTACTACATCAACCTAAATTTCTAGATGTTCTGAAAAATGCTAAAGCCAACCCTGATGCTAAGCGCCTTTATGACGATCTCCTTAGTAATTACAATCGACTAATAAGACCCGTAGAAAATCATACTCAAACTTTAACAGTTTGGCTCGGTTTAAAACTCTCTCAACTAATTGAAATGAATCTAAAAAATCAAGTTATGACAACAAATCTGTGGGTTGTACAGGTATAAAATTCAAATATTTGACTTAAAGCCATTTCTTATTAAGCTGTCAATCTAGAGATGGTTTGATTATAAACTGAAATGGGACCCTGAAGAATACGGCGGCGTGGAAATGTTATACGTGCCTTCCGAGCACATTTGGTTACCTGACATAGTGCTGTTTAATAAGTAAGTGGATTTGATGGATCTGAGGTTTCTTCCCAACTATCAGCAAATGTTGTAGTGCGGATGGCAATTACGAAGTCACATTGATGACTAAAGCCACTCTGTCTTATACTGGAGAAGTAATTTGGAAACCACCGTCTATATATAAATCTTCTTGTGAAATAAACGTGCAATATTTTCCTTTCGACGAGCAAAGTTGCTTAATGAAATTTGGTTCGTGGACTTACAATGGCCTTCAAGTGAGTATTGGCAAGATATAATGTCTACTATTTGATTAAGTATGTAGGATATGTAGAATTAGTTTTAAGACAAAATGACCATGTTTGTTTTATTGTTTTATTAATATATAATATATATAATATCCTTAATTAATTATAGAAATCCATACCGGTGTAATATTAAATATTTCTAACATTCTGCATAATTTTGATAATAAAATCATTTTTTCAACTATGTGTTACATGAAACCTACTATTTAATAAATAATTTAATTTGTGTAACTAAACTAAATTTCTCGGCGCCTCCGCTTTTCTTACTCTTTGTAAGCTTACAGCTAAAAAATTAATATTACTTTGTTTACGCACTATTCACTTGCTGCATTTCCAGAAAAATTATAAAAATAATAATAAAAATAACTGTATTAAGGCACAAGTATATAAATACATATATAAAATATACACAAGAAGAAAATATAACAAATTCGCAATACATGGTTACCTAGTAAAATACTCCTCTAATATACATATATAGAACAGTATCTATCAAATAGTGTAAGTTCTTTTTGAATCGTTTGACAGAGTACATAGTTCTGCATTTAACCATATCTTTGTCATACATTTTTGTGCAATTATAAAGAAAACTATTACTAAATTTACGTGTGTGAATAATCCAAATACTAATTTGTTACAATTTCGTGTTTTTGCACAATACACAAATCTGATTACAAAAAGGCGCTGTGATACCCAACCAAAGATCGACAAAACAATCTGTATACAACTTCTACAAGATGTTTTTGTAGTCTGACGATTCTGAGGCTTTTTGTTACGAGTACGTTGTGATGCGAAAAAGTTATAGTCTATATGACAGGATTTACGCAAATAAAATGTAACAAAAGGTTGTATATTCAACTGATCTTGTAACAATAGTAAAGACAAGTCACCTAAGAAATCGAATTCTGGAGTTTACATGCCAAGTTGTAGTGACTGCCCCTTAGTATACATCGGACAAACAGGGAGAAAATTTGAGGAAAGGATAAAAGAACATAAATCAGCATATGTCAATAAAAAATCAAATTCTACGTACGCGAACCATCTTATCCAAGAACAGCATAATTTCAACGACGAATTCAAAATTTTACACATAGAAAATAAAGGCGCAAAATTAAACGCGTTAGAATGTCTGGAAATAAATAGGTACAATAGATTTAATACACTAATGAACGACCAAACCTAAATAAACAAATCTCCCTTACTTAACATAAATTTGTAAACACTATTGTTAAATCAGGTATAAATTCAGGAGTAGCTCTGTAAAACCCCAGTTTCTCTTCTGCCTGAAGACGGTACTGTGTACCGAAACACGTGTAGCAGTGACTACGAATACATTATTTAAACTCTGAAAGTTTTTTCATTATTATTAAAAAAAAAAAAAAATTATGTCTTGTAATTTAAAGAAATATGTTTGTAATATTCTAGGGTCGACTATTGCTAATATAAATCCATGATATATGGAAAAAAGAATGTTATACACTGACCGGCAAAAAAAAACCCGCCACCCTGAAATATTTCGCAAAACCACTTTACAATTTAAATTTTAACTAGAGATTGTATTTATTTGTCTCTTTTTACTTCCTGAGCGTAAGTAAGTATAGTAATCAAGTCCATCGGACGAATGGCCACTTAAATTTTTCTCGTTTCATTACGCCTAGAGTACGAAAAAAGTAGTCTCCCGATTCCGTCTGTCGGACTGTATGTCTGGCGTCTGTACCCATTTTACATTAGACATGAATGTAACAACCGGATCGATTGTTGTCAGAAGGCAGTATACTTACTACAAATTCAGCCCGGCTTGTGTTAACACTATAATGTGTACTATCTGTGTATAGCAAGTACCTTGCGCCCGATAATTAATTTAAAACAAAACATCTGCAATAAACGCAAATTCTGCGATTTTCAGAGGAATAAGAAGAATTTATTGAAATCTATTGTCGGTATTACCAGATTTCGACAATAACTACATTCTGACAACACCACAAAACTTCAAGCAAAATATAAAAACAATTCAAATTCTAGAGTCTGTAGTTCAGCAGATCTAGAAGGAGGTAATTCCATACTTCGTTTTTTAGAAAACACTGGCTGCATATTAGCAGCCTCACCAAACTTTACAAAAACGCTGCTGACTTAACTAAGAACAATATATTAAAAATCTATAAATCCGCGCTCTCTTGTTTTGGAGATCTAGAGTGTGCTGTTTCCGAATTAGTCTCTAATTAGAAAACAATCCTGCATACCCGAAACATCATGAAAGTTTGCACAAGCATTTTCGAGGCAATTCAAGATAAAATTTTAAAAAATTGATAATTCGCTCTCTTTTGTTTTGGAGTTGAAGAGAGTGGAATATCAGAAATTGATCATCCTGAAATTAACGTCTGCATAATCGCAGCATCATGAAACTTTGCACATATGTTCTCGAGGCAATTCAAGACAAAATATTAAAAAATTGAGAATTCGCTATCATTGATTTTATGTTAAAGAGTGTGAAATATCAGATATTAGTCGTCCTGAAATTGACTGCATAATTGCAGCAACATCAAACTTTGCCCAAGTATTCTCGAGGCTATTCATGACAAAATTATTAAAGAGTATCGAATATCAGAAATTAGTCCCCCTGAAAGTGCATAATCATTTCCGAGGCAATTCAGTACAAAATATTGAAAAATTGAGAAGAAATCAATTCGGAATTTCCACTGGATCTCCAAAACAGACGGGGTTTCATCCGTAATTTTTTAGTATTATGTTCCGTGTTGTCTCGGGAACATTTTTTGTATAGAGTTGTATCACGCTGTGATTATGCGGTCATTGCTTTCAGGATGGCTAATTTCTGAGATACCATTTTCTGGAATTCCAAACAAGAGAGGGAAAATTCTCACTCTTTTAATTTTTTCTTCTGAATTGCTTCGACAATATTTTTATAAAGTTTTATGATACTGCGCAAATGCACTTGTTACTTTCAGGACGATTAACTTCTGATACCTATATCACAAATGAGGTCGAATTTTCGGTTTTCTAATACTGAATTGAGTCGGAAACATTTATGTGTGTAATGTTTTATCGCTCTGCAATTTTGCAATCCTTACTTTCAAGACGACTAATTTCTGATATAATATCACTCTCTGGCCGAATTCTCATTTTTTTGAATTTTGTTCTGAATTGCTTCGGATAAACATGTTTCTAAAATATAGTCGACGCGCAATGAAAAGAACTACTTGGCAGTTCACCTTCGTAAATATCCACAATGTAACTATAGAATTTGAAATATAAACGTAGATTTTAGAAATTTATTTTAGTAACTATTCCGTCACTTGATATTTTGACATATCTCATCACGTTGAATTTAACGTTGTTAAGATTGTTTTCAAGACCGCAAAAGGAAAGATATTGCTTACAGACTCATTGTTACATTGCTCAATCATAACTTACGGTGATTACTGGCAATAATTATGATTGACCCAAACTGTTGACGGGGAAATAATTCTTAGCTGTGTAGGTTTAAAATTCGAATGTCAACTTTGATGACGACTAACAGGCTGACAACCTAAAAGGTAAAATTACTGGCCACCAATATAATTTTTTTCTCGTCGACTATACCAGGACTTATGTATTGTGTTGACGTACGTTATTAGTTACTTAATAAAAAAAACATTTGGTTTGACTAGCCTACAGTCACGACCATAAAATTTTGGACGTCAATGTCATTCCATTGTCATAAAATATAAAACACTTTTAAGTATTGTAACCTTTTTTTGTGCTTTTTGACACGGCGAGCATACTGAAACTGGATGCAACAAGATAAATCTGTTAAACTTCAAATATTACTGTTATTATTATTATATATTATTACGGCGTACGAGCAGAGACAACATGCGTGTTTTGCCGGAGCCCGTTTCAAAAGACAACAGAGGAGGTTACTGACAACTAACTTTCCAGGAATGAACCCATGCTGTTGTGAAGGTATTGTATGGTGTTCTAATTAAAATGCTAGTATGTTGTCATATATAATAGATTCCATTAATTTTACAACCATGGACGTGAGATTGATCAGACGATAATTCCCTGGTCAAATTGATCCCCTTTTTTATAAACTGATCTAACAAAGGCATCTAATCTGATGAAACCTGAATTAAAGGAGCGACTGAAGAGGATACTCAGAGGCTTAGCGAAAAAATGTGCACATCTTTTAAATAGGGTTACTCTTATACTATCGGGACCGTGACATTTCCCATCTTTCAACTTATTCAGCTTCCGGAGAATAATGTTTTCGAAGACATCTGTTGTTTTAAGAGATTCTGAACAGGGCGGGGTGTTAACTTTTAAATTACCAGTAAGTGGTTCACTTGTGAAAACTTTATAAAAATTGTCGGCAAACATATTGGCAACAGGTTGACAATTATTATCAAGAAGATGACCTTTCTCACCGGGGTATTTTGACAGGGCTCGTTAATGGTGTTCGTATGTACTTGTAGAAAACTTCTGGATTTTTGTGATCGAAAATTAATTGTTCGTACTTGGATCTAGCTTCTCTGATAATTAAGAATAATTTGTTTGAGAAAACTCTGTGACTTGCATAGTTAAATTCAATGCCTGAGCGTTTAAATACTTTCCACAAATTTCGTTTACGTCGGATTAATTTAAGGATCCAAGGTTTAGTAGAAGACTTTTTTTGTGTAACAACGTGAGAATTCCTAGAAACAACATCATATAATGGATTCTTTTAATACAAACCAGTTATCAATAGTAATATCCAAGGAAACTTGGCGATAATTTCCCCTGAGGTTGAGGGGTCTTTCGGCAGACTATTTCCTGAAGAAAATTTCATCTCTTAGTCGAATTTTCAGTCCTAGAAACAAATTTTTAAATAAAATTTAAACTCAAAATCACTCCTCTGTATTTTTATCATTGTCACCATCACTACTACTAAACAAGTCAGAAAATCTCAATTTTCCCAAAATGTGCGCTTTGGA